CCGTGACCTGACCTTGAGTGACCCCGTGACCTGATTTTGAGTGACCCCGTGACCTGACCTTGAGTGACCCCGTGACCTGACCCAGCAGTGAGGCGTCACTCAACTATCCCGTCCCCTTTAAGGGGTTAGACTTAACACTATTATACCACCAACCGTCACTGGTCTTATAGTGTTATCTGTCTGTGCAGGAGCCAGATGTTAGCTCTGGGACCCCGCCTCTCTTTATCGTCAGCTGTCTAATGTACTGACTCCCAGCCATGTACGTGAGTGCGGTGGTAGGATTGAGCCTCAGCTCCTAAGCCCCGCCAGTTCTTGACCACAGAGCGCCTCGTTATCTCTTCAAACACAATACTGACCTAAGAAACCTCTATTGTATTTTTAGTTAATATGTGTTATGATTTTAGAAGTATACCTGTGTTAGTGTTGTGTATTGTGAGTGTAGTGACAGGTCCGTCTCTCCAGGGCAAGGGTCAGATTCACGAAGCAGTTACGCAAGCACTTACGAACGTGTACATCTTTTCTCAATCTTTGGCGGCTTTGTTTACAATTATTAAACAGTTAATGAGCTCCGAAGCCCCAGGAGGCTGTTTATAACAATAACAACAGTTGTTTGGCAAGTTTTCATGCTTGTAAACTGTTTAATAAATGTAACCAAAGCCGTCAAAGATTGAGGAAAGATGTACACGTTCGTAAGTGCTTGCGTAACTGCTTTCTGAATCCGGGTCCAGGCCACTTACGCACTCTTGTTCCCATACTGACAGTTTACAAGTACAATTAGGTACTTAGTACATTAGTACTAAGTACAATTAGTTACAAGTACATTTAGCAGTAGACAACATTTAGGAGTACATATACCTTTGCCCAATAGCACATTTCTTCCCTGTGAGGACAAAGGGAACACATGTTCTACAGTTTTGTAGAACATTGTTCTACAACCCTCTGCATTGTAGAACAATATATTTTTCCTCTGGGCTAACCCCTTACAATGTTCTCCAACCAGCCCCGTCCTCCTAAGGTTGCCCAACGTCAAGAAAACGGTCAATTTAAAGTGCCCTCTCCTAACCTACCAGAGGACCCAAAACAGAAAACGGAACAATACGTCACTTTCGTCAGCCATTTTCTGGTACGACTATATGTGGCCTTATGTAAGGCATACGAGCGAAATGCGACGTTCTTGGTCGTAGGAGAGGGTGGTCGTAGGAGAGAGTGGTCGTAGGAGAGGGTGGTCGTAGGAGAGGGTGGTCGTAGGAGAGGGTGGTCGTAGGAGAGGGTGGTCGTAGGAGAGGGTGGTCGTAGGAGAGGGTGGTCGTAGGAGAGGGTGGTCGTAGGAGAGGGTGGTCGTAGGAGAGGGTGGTCGTAGGAGAGGGTGGTCGTAGGAGAGGGTGGTCGTAGGAGAGGGTGGTCGTAGGAGAGGGTGGTCGTAGGAGAGGGTGGTCGTAGGAGAGGGTGGTCGTAGGAGAGGGTGGTCCAAGGAGAGCCAATCAGCGTGGACCGAGAAACAAGTGTTCAATGGCCTGACTGAGTTCAATTGTGGTGTAGAATTATAATGACTTTGCGTGTCTGTGGAAGGTCAAATGAGAACCTGAATTATGTAATTGGGACATGAAACCCACTCATTGTTTTTGTGGCTCTTAACGTGTCCGATACCAGACACTCCCTTCAGCCTAAAGCCTCCTACCCTCCCTCCCTCCTTCCCTCCCTCCCTCCTTCACTCTCCTGCCTCCTTCACTCCCTCCCTCCCTCCCTCCTCCCTCCTGTCTCCTACACTCCCTCCCTCCTCCCTCCTGTCTCCTACACTCCCTCCCTCCTCCCTCCTGTCTCCTACACTCCCTCCCTCCTCCCTCCTGTCTTCTACACTCCCTCCCTCCTCCCCCCTGTCTCCTACACTCCCTCCCTCCTGTCTCCTACACTCCCTCCCTCCTCCCTCCTGTCTCCTACACTCCCTCCCTCCTCCCTCCTGTCTCCTACACTCCCTCCCTTATGTTGTCAATTTGAACTTTGTCTCTGAACACCATCATGGGTCCAGAGAAGGAATATTTCTGAACAACTTGAGCTTTGCGGCAAGAGGACGGCTCTAAAACAAGAGGAGAGACGGGCAGACGCGCTTTCCTTGACTTCCCGAAAGCATTTGACACAGTCCCGTACAGCAAATTACTATATAAGATGGAGAGAAAGCTGCAGTGACACAGAGAGAGCACTGAGATGGTCAGAGGAATGCCTCACGGGGAGTGCTCAGAGGGTCACAGTGAGAGGGGGAAGAGAGAGCAGACAGCAGCCATCAGTGGGGGTGTCATAGGGGTTAGTGTAAGAACTTATCCTCTTAATATAACACTACATAAGAAGGCTTTTAAAATAATGTATGCAACATACGTGAGACTCGTCTAGGAGTATGCAGACCAGGCATGGAATCCTTACTTGAAGTACAAAGTAAAACTAGACAAAGTGAAAAAAATATTCAACGAGGCTGGTCCCGAATTGAGAAGAGGTACAGTAAAATGCTTAGAGAACTGGATCTCACTACGCTGGAGGACCGGTATAACACAGAAGACATGATAACAACATACAAAATTCTTAAGCAAATTAGAAAAAAAAAGTTAAAGTAATGTTAAAAAATGGGAAAGGGGACAACGAGAAGCCATGGATAATACGCAAATATGTAAATAAGTCAGAGATTTCAGCGAATTAATCGAGTTAAACGACGCTGAAGCAATATCCTTAATGACAGTTTCAGATGAAATTATCATTATCAACAATGACGAGTCATTTCACAAACCAATCATCAGTTAAGAAGGCGGGTCTAAGGAGCTGCAGCTCGACCTTGAACACACAGCAATAGACCAGTAACCCCCCCCCCCCCCACAGAGCCGTAAGACACACACACGATCATATTTCACAGCGAGGAGTAATTTCAGTGAAAATATCACCCGCGCGGCCTATAATTAGGGGAAGGTGTCGCCTCCAGGTGAACCCCTAACTCTCCCGCCACCAAATTGGCGGGAAAGTTTACTGCGTAACCTCACTGACGCCGGAACACCCGAAGATGTTATTCATGGAGGCCTGGATTCAGATTATTGGCTCTTGAGTGCAGGATGATAGGAAGGGGGGGGGGGAGTAGGGGGGTTCATGGTGGTAATTGAGTGTAAGAGGGGTGGGGGGTGATTTCACACTTGGGGGTGGTGGTGGTGGGGGTTCATACTTCCTTGGCCGGTGTTGGTTGTATGTGGAGGGGGGAATGGGGGAGGGTGGGGGTGGGGGGGGGGGGGTGTTAATATCGGCTCTAGGGTGTGATTCTGATGAAGGGGGGGGGGGGTAGGGAGGGTGGGGTGGCGTGGGGGGGTTATAATACTGCTCGTTGAGATTGTTATGGGGTTGCGTGACCTCAGGTAGGAAGTATGTGTGTAAGAATGAGGGTTTACCACACACACACACACACACACACACACACACACACACACACACACACACACACACACACACACACACACACACACACACACACACACACACACACACATACCTAGTTTTAAAAGCAAATACTATTCATACTTTTAAAACTAGGTATGATAGGGAAATGGGACAGGAGTCATTGCTGTAAACAACCGATAGCTGGAAAGGCGGGATCCAAGAGTCAATGCTCGATCCTGCAAGCACAAATAGGTGAGTACAAATAGGTGAGTACACAAGAAAGGGGATAGACAGGAGGCACACTACACACACACACACACACACACACACACACACACACACACACACACCACACACACACACACACACATGCACACACACACACACACACACATACATACACACACATCTGTACATCAGTTGATCGACAGTTGAGAGGCGGGACCAAAGAGCCAAAGCTCAACCCCCGCAAGCACAAATAGGTGAGTACACAACAACAACAACAACAACTTTTAGATCACTGTATACCGCCTGTGTGAGGCCAGTCTTAGAGTATGCCGCACCATCGTGGAGCCCCCATCTTAATGAACACATAAGGAAGCTCGAAATGGTGCAGACATTTGCAACGAAACTCGTCCCAGAACTGCGAGGAAAGAGGTACGAAGACAGACTGAAGGAACTAAACCTGACGACGCTAGAAAGGAGGAGGGAGAGTGGGACATGATACTGATGTATAAAATACTTTGAGGGATTGACAAGGTGGAAACAAAGGAAATGTTTACAGTGAATAACAATACAAAAAGGGGGGCACGGATGGAAGCTTGAGACTCAGATGTTAGAAATTTTCTTTTAGTGTAAGGGGCAGTAAATGGAATGACTTAAAGGAACAGATTGTAGAGGTTAACTTCATTCATAACTTCATTTAATCCAGGAAGATAGACAGTTACAATCAGAAACCATTAATGGCGAAGGAGAGCTAATATCTCGTCCAGCCTCCATAGCTATATGCCCCCCCCCCCGCCCCAGAGCTAACAACCTAACAACCTCCTCCTAACAACCATCAACCACTTCACCCATCCCTTTCCCTCCAGCACAACTATCCACCTCTCCAACTCACCAATTCCTGTCCCAGAACATATATTCATTACCCACCTTTCTGCAAACAAGACCCCCTTCCTTCTCTTCACCACTTCCCCCATTAACAACCATTATTTTATACCCCCCCCCCCCACCCAATTACTCCCTTTTCCTCCTTTCTACACCTGAACCAACCTATTACCCCCACCCCTCAGGCTTGGAGCTGCCTGTGTACTCAGCACAGTAACGATAAAGAACCTAACTATCTGGTACACTAATGATGATGTTATATCAAACAAAGCACATGAATTAAAAGAAAAAACTGCTGACAAGCGTAGAACGAAAATATCTGGAACGATCACTAAGGCCATAATCCCCCCCAGGCCATAGCTGATAGCAAAAGGAAAAGAAAGAAGAGGGAAGAAGTGACACAGCAGCTCAATATGGCACTGAAAAGATTAACATTCTAGAGGATACCATCTATGTAGACTATGTAGACTATGTAGCGGGAATCATTCATGGGAAGGAGACAAAGTGGTCGTGTCTGTGACTTACAATCCTCCAGAGAACCACATAAGACCAACACAAAAGTACGAGATAATGGTGCTTACGTAACTATCAACCAGAGTGTGGCTGATATAACCTTTAGAGTGAGAAGGAAGCTGCTACTAGTGGGGGGACTTCAGGGGGTATAACTTTATAATATGCAAATATATGCAATAAAACTGGTTCGATTTCAATCAAACTTTTTTGACTGGTTGTATATGAAAAAGGGCTTCAAGTGGTCCAAGTCTCAACATGGTAGCATAAATAGGAAGGGCGAAAAAAGTATTTGTGTCAAAAATATGGAATAATATGGAATAACGAACAAGTGTGCGAACAACCCAACAGACTGCAACTACAGGAAAACTACACCACCCAACAGGAAGACAGGAAGACTACAGGACTACAGACTACAGGAAGACTACACAACCCAACAGACTACAACTACAGGAAGTAATAAAGCAGCAACCATTGGCAAGGAAACGGGGACTACTAGAAGAAATACTGACCGAAATGGAGGTGACTCCCGTAGCAGTAAAGATATATAGGTAGAGGACCTGGAAGTGATGGTAAGTAACACGCCCTGACAACATCTTACGATCTCAAGATGTTAAGATCGATCCCAAAAGCTGCAAGACTGAGCCGACACCTCGCAATAGTTTTAAACTCCTCATTAGAAACGGGAAAACTACCTGAAATTTGGAAAATGGCTAATTGGTGCCTATATATAAAATAAAGACAGGAGCCATTGAATTAAGAGCCGGAATTACTAACAAGTAACTCTTGTAAGGTATTGCAAGATTACAAGGCTGATAACAAGGCTCTAGAACGCTTCGAACGTGTACACTTGTACCAAGCATTACAATGGGTTGAGCACAGGTGGGAGTGGGCAACACAGGTGCACGAGACAGATGCAAGGGGAGCCGGTCGGCCGAGCGGAAAGCAAGCTGGACTTGTGATCATGTGGTCCTGGGTTCGATCCCAGACGCCGGCGAGAAACAATGGGCAGAGTTTCTTTCACCCCATGCCCCTGTTACCTAGCAGTAAAATAGGTACCTGGGTGTTAGTCAGCTGTCACGGGCTGCTTCCTGGGGGTGGAGGCCTGGTCGGGGACCGGGCCACGGGGACACTAAAAGGCCCCGAAATCATCTCCAGATAACCTCAAGATAAGGGAATACTCGTGTACAGGGACACCAGCATGTTATTCACTGTCTATAACTGTCTGTCCATTGTCCACTCCGTAACAAATACAACCATTTTGCCTAACCATAACCGTATGACCCTAACCCTGGAAACACAAACTGAAACTGTCTCTATTTTCCGCTTGTTACAACTTGTAATAAAGTTGTTACATCTTGGCTTAACGTGTTTATGACGTATTAGAACGTTGTTACAACTTGCTATATTGGTTGTTATAACTGGTTAGGAGGTGTTAAAACTTGTTCGAACGTTGTACCAACGTCGTAGTTTCGGTGTGTGTTTGGCGGGAAGTCACTCACCTGACCTATTGAGGTCGCTGCACACAAGACCTCATGTTATGGTTCTTCAATCGCTACAACACCACACATTTTTAACAAAGATTCTGTACAAAAAAATGCGAAATATTAATTGGAAACACAAATAACTGCCAACGGAACCTAAACACCTAACCTTACATAGGGCCTAAATATGCACGATGTGTTATTCAATGATATTCATTTATAGTTGAGAAGAGTTAAATTTTCTGTGAACAGCATGTTAAAACTGAAGATTACGTTTTTGGGGTCGGCCACTGGATGGAATGGACAAAGCCTGAGCAAGGGTTGAGCTTTTTATATCCAGGTTCTTTCTCCCTCGTTCTCCCTCCCTCCCTCCCTCTTTTTAGCTCAAAAAATCTACAACTTAATAACAGCAGATCATAAAACTAGCAAAAACCCCAGCGATATGCAACATGTTCAGACCGGAGGAGACATGATCCTGACGTACAAGATTTTAATATAAAATCATATTTCACAGCAGCAATCTTCACGAGACGAACAAAACAATACAACGACTCATAAGGTGGAAATAAACGAGCCCCCCAAAAATGTCATAACTAACTTGTTCAGCTTAAAAATCAGAATTCAACAGTTTTACAAGCACAAGATCCATCCCCCACGTTCAGGTATGTGAACGTGGGAGATGGTAGTCGTCCTCGTCCCTTCGCTAACGTGGGAGTGACTGGCTTCCCCTACCTGGGGTTTCTCAGGTTAATATCCTGGCTGTCTCGCCCTAGGTGTGTACAGGTATTTATCATCTCCGAGCGAGACACGGAAGGGATGCTGCATCTCTGTCCCTTGACACTATTATTATGTGGGAGGGGAGAGAAAGAGAGACGGGGGGGGGGGGGGGAAGGGGAGTGACAGAGGGACGGGTGGACGCGTCCAAGTGCCATGTGTTAGTGTTGACAGGAGAGTAATTAAGGGATTCCCCGCCAGAGGTCCATCAGCTGTCTTGATGACGTCACTCCCTACACGCCTGCAAGTCCGCCTGTCTAACTCCCTCTGTCTGTCTGTCTGTAAGTCTGTCTGTCAGTCTGTCTCTCCCTCTCTGTCAGTTTGTGTAATTTTCTGTCAGTCCATCTTCCTTTCTGCCAGCATCCCTCTGTATGTGTCCCTATTTGTCTCTGTCAGTCTGTCTCTAGTCAGGCTTACCTGTCCATCTTACACTGTCAATCTGGATATTTTTTTTATCTTTCTCAATCAGTCACTTCGTCCGTCTCTGTTTGTCTCCACATGTTCCGTCTCTTCGTCTGCTGCAATAGCCGGTGACGAATGTTGACAGGAGGTGACGGGAGGTGACAGGAGGTGACGGGAGGTGACAGGAGGTGACGGGAGGTGACAGGAGGTGACGGGAGGTGACAGGAGGTGACGGGAGGTGACGGGAGGTGACAGGAGGTGACGGGAAGCATGGCAATAAGCCCTGCAGTTCTCTCCATTATCTCAACAAGACCCATCAATCACTGTCATCTCAACTGTGATTAAAGGCCCTGTTTCTCCTGACACAGCCAGCTGACCAGCCTACTGACCAGCCTACTGACCAGCCTACTGACCATCCTACTGACCAGCCTACTGACCAGACTACTGACCAGCCTACTGACCAGTCTACTGACCAGCCTACTGACCAGACTACTGACCAGCCTACTGACCAGACTACTGACCAGCCTACTGACCAGTCTACTGACCAGCCTACTGACCAGACTACTGACCAGCCTACTGACCAGACTACTGACCAGCCTACTGACCATCCTACTGACCAGCCTACTGACCAGACTACTGACCAGCCTACTGACCAGACTACTGACCAGCCTACTGACCATCCTACTGACCAGACTACTGACCAGCCTACTGACCAGACTACTGACCAGCCTACTGACCAGCCTACTGACCAGCCTACTGACCAGCCTACTGACCAGCCTACTGACCAGACTACTGACCAGCCTACTGACCAGTCTACTGACCCGACTACTGACCAGACTACTGACCAGACTACTGACCAGACTACTGACCAGCCTACTGACCAGCCTACTAACCCGACTACTGACCCGACTACTGACCAGACTACTGACCAGACTACTGCCCAGACTACTGACCAGCCTACTGACCAGCCTACTGACCAGACTACTGACCAGACTACTGACCAGCCTACTGACCAGTCTACTGACCAGTCTACTGACCCGACTACTAACCCGACTACTGACCCGACTACTGACCAGACTACTGACCAGACTACTGCCCAGACTACTGACCAGCCTACTGACCAGCCTACTGACCAGACTACTGACCAGCCTACTGACCAGACTACTGACCAGCCTACTGACCAGCCTACTGACCAGCCTACTGACCAGCCTACTGACCCGACTACTGACCAGCCTACTGACCAGCCTACTGACCCGACTACTGACCAGCCTACTGACCAGCCTACTGACCAGCCTACTAACCCGACTACTGACCCGACTACTGACCAGACTACTGACCAGACTACTGCCCAGACTACTGACCAGCCTACTGACCAGCCTACTGACCAGACTACTGACCAGACTACTGACCAGCCTACTGACCATCCTACTGACCAGACTACTGACCAGCCTACTGACCAGACTACTGACCAGACTACTGACCAGCCTACTGACCAGACTACTGACCAGCCTACTGACCAGACTACTGACCAGCCTACTGACCAGACTACTGACCAGACTACTGACCAGCCTACTGACCAGACTACTGACCAGCCTACTGACCAGCCTACTGACCAGACTACTGACCAGACTACTGACCAGACTACTGACCAGCCTACTGACCAGACTACTGACCAGCCTACTGACCAGACTACTGACCAGACTACTGACCAGTCTACTGACCAGCCTACTGACCAGCCTACTGACCAGACTACTGACCAGCCTACTGACCAGCCTACTGACCAGCCTACTGACCAGACTACTGACCAGCCTACTGACCAGCCTACTGACCAGACTACTGACCAGCCTACTGACCAGTCTACTGACCAGCCTACTGACCAGACTACTGACCAGCCTACTGACCAGACTACTGACCAGCCTACTGACCAGTCTACTGACCAGACTACTGACCAGACTACTGACCAGCCTACTGACCAGCCTACTGACCAGCCTACTGACCAGCCTACTGACCAGACTACTGACCAGCCTACTGACCAGTCTACTGACCAGACTACTGACCAGACTACTGACCAGACTACTGACCAGTCTACTGACCAGACTACTGACCAGACTACTGACCAGCCTACTGACCAGTCTACTGACCAGACTACTGACCAGCCTACTGACCAGTCTACTGACCAGACTACTGACCAGACTACTGACCAGCCTACTGACCAGTCTACTGACCAGACTACTGACCAGCCTACTGACCAGTCTACTGACCAGACTACTGACCAGACTACTGACCAGCCTACTGACCAGACTACTGACCAGCCTACTGACCAGACTACTGACCAGACTACTGACCAGACTACTGACCAGACTACTGACCAGACTACTGACCAGCCTACTGACCAGCCTACTGACCAGCCTACTGACCAGCCTACTGACCAGTCTACTGACCAGACTACTGACCAGACTACTGACCAGCCTACTGACCCGACTACTGACCAGCCTACTGACCAGACTACTGACCAGACTACTGACCAGTCTACTGACCAGCCTACTGACCAGCCTACTGACCAGACTACTGACCAGCCTACTGACCAGCCTACTGACCAGACTACTTACCAGCCTACTGACCAGCCTACTGACCAGCCTACTGACCAGCCTACTGACCAGCCTACTGACCAGTCTACTGACCAGACTACTGACCAGCCTACTGACCAGACTACTGACCAGCCTACTGACCAGACTACTGACCAGCCTACTGACCAGCCTACTGACCAGACTACTGACCAGCCTACTGACCAGCCTACTGACCAGACTACTGACCAGACTACTGACCAGCCTACTGACCAGCCTACTGACCAGACTACTGACCAGACTACTGACCAGACTACTGACCAGTCTACTGACCAGACTACTGACCAGACTACTGACCAGTCTACTGACCAGACTACTGACCAGACTACTGACCAGCCTACTGACCAGCCTACTGACCAGACTACTGACCAGACTACTGACCAGACTACTGACCAGCCTACTGACCAGACTACTGACCAGACTACTGACCAGACTACTGACCAGACTACTGACCAGCCTACTGACCAGACTACTGACCAGCCTACTGACCAGACTACTGACCAGCCTACTGACCAGACTACTGACCAGCCTACTGGCTGCATAATAAGTAATAACTAAGTGTTGATAAAGGGGCAAAATAAGTGTAAAATAAGTGTAAATTAAGCGTAAATTAAGTGTAAATTTAGCATAGAATAGTGAACATTAAGAAGAGATAATCTACACTTAATTTGTACTTTAAGTGCAAATTTAATTCTTATTATATGCAAATTAAGTGTATATTAAGCATGGATTAAATCCAATTAAGTGTGATTAATCGTTTACTAAGTGTACACTAAGTGTAGATTAGGCCCAAACTGAGTATACATTTTCAGAACCATTTGTTCATGGTCTTTGATGTCGAACTATCCTCTGTTCATGTCTCTAATTGCTGATTTAATAAGGCTCATTCTCCAATTGTATACCACTTTGGCAGTACAATCCCATTTAACTGACCAATTTCCTTAAAAAAAGGCTATTAAGTCATACTTGACAATTAGTTTAAATACTTTTAACAATTAGTTAGGATGTGAAATTTTGGTGGGAGGAAAGGTAGAGCACTGTGGGTGGGGAGGTGAGGTCGTCCAGTAGAGCACTGTGGGTGGGAGGTGAGGTCGTCCAGTAGAGCACTGTGGGTGGGAGGTGAGGTCGTCCAGTAGAGCACTGTGGGTGGAGGCTGCACCATCTAAGAAAGAGGAAGGTTCATGAGAGTTTATAAAAAATTTTGTCTTCATCTTATCTATCCCTATAAGGCCTGGTACTCACTGAGACTCTCTCTCACTTTCTCTCTCTCTCTCCCATCCTGACTTCACGAGCCCTCGATGGGTAATTCAGCCTGAAACACGACACAGACACGACACAGACACGACACAGACAGCCTTCAGGACATATCTGGGGAGTGTTCACATTATGGGGATCACAGCCTCCACTTGGCAATCTGCAATTACTTGTCCGTTGTTGTGGCAATTTCAATCACTCCAGATTAGTGAGTGGATGTGCAGCCTTGCACCAGCAGCACCTCAGAGACCAGTCATCTGGCCTGGTTGACAGTAGTCGACACTCGCTGCTTGACTGCTTGACTGGTTCACTTACTGACTTTATCTTAATAAAGTCTTCCCTGAGCTTTGTGTTTATCTCTGTATCGTTGACAGTAACTTTGTTTATTTTGCTCAAGCAACTCTTGCTGTCTGATTGACTGTCTCGGTGATTGACAGCCTTAATAGTTGATTGATTGACTGTTGAATGACAGACAAGCGCACCGTACAAATCTTCAAGAAACAACAGGAAAATTTGAACAAACAGAAAACACGTGGCTAATAGAGTTTAACTTAAGCATGTGCAAAGTAATGAAAGTTGGGTGTTGGGGACAGGAGTCTGGGTGCACAAGGTACTTATTGAGATGAAAACTTCTTCAAGATTTGAAAAGAGAAAACTATGAGATTGATGTCATACTGAACTAATCTCCTGAAGTCAACATCAACCATACATCATCAGCTGCAGATGCAACGTTGGTCAACATGAGAACTTCCTTTAAAAAGCTAAAGAAGGAGCTTTTGAGGATCTATTATGATATATTCAGGAGTATACCTCTCAGACCATAAGGGTTGAGAGACGCCAGAGATGCAACATTTACCACATAACAGGGATCCAGGAGGCCATTAATGTGTGCACGATGCCCAACTGATGAGAAGACTTGCAAGATTATAAGCAACTGCATGACCCGGCATACTAAGATGCTGCAACAATATCTGAAACAAACAGGAACCTGGAGAAGGATATAAATGAGAGAGACACAACTTCCTGAAGCAGAGAAGGAGGCGCGAGTGTGTTCCTACTCATCACCAGTGTGTGTGGGGGCAAACTGACCATCGCAAGGATATGTTTCAAATCAAATGTTTATTTAGGTAAGGTACATACATACAAGAGATTTTAGAAAGAGTGATGGATTTATAGATAGGGCTAGTACATACAATGCCTAAAGCCACTATTACGCAAAGCGTTTCGGGCATGATAAGAAGGTAAGGCACTACCTTCAAGAAGGTGGTTCAGGCGGCCTTAACAGTGCTTGTCGTCACGAGGTAAACTAGCAAGAACCAGGACTTCGTAACGGGGCTCCACCTGGCTGAACTCTCTTAGGAGGAGACGAGGGAGATGCTGGACCTCACCTCATTTGGAGGAGCTGGACTTCACTTGAGGAGAGACTGAAGAATAATGATCATAATGATGGTGATGACACGGATGATGGTGACAAGGAAGACAGTGATGACAGTGATAATTGGAGGCAAAATATAATCAATGAACGTTCAAATTATAACGAAAACATGTTAAAAATCTCACACCAGACTGTGTGACAGTGTGCCCCCCAGGCCTGCTGCTGGCCCCGGGGCACCACGCCCCCAGGCCTGCTGCTGGCCCTGGGGCACCACGCCCCCAGGCCTGCTGCTGGGTTTATCACAAAGTAAAGATCAAGAGATTAGATTATTACAATATATCATCTTAGTTTAAACCCGTGTCTCTTGTGAATGTGAGGGTGTGAGAGGGGGTGGAGTGGTGCTTGGGTGGAGGAGAGGAAGGTGGATAATGGGAGGGGAGGGGAAGGGGTTTTGGGAAAGGGAGTGTGGGTGAGGGGGAAGGAGAGTATGGCTGAAGTGAAGCGATAGTGTGAAGGGGATTTCTGAGAGAGGGGAGGGGGGAGCAGGGGGATTTAAGGGGAGGAGTGAAATTTGCTAGTTGGGGAAGAAAGAATAATTAAGAAGCAACAGACAGATGAAGGATGCATCCCTCACCCCCCACCCACCCCCCCACACCCCCGCCCCATCCACCCCCAGTCCCCCCCACCTGCAGGCCCCCCCCCTCCTCACAAGCCAGACAATAGTAAACTGTCCCCAAAAGCCGAGGGTCGATTTCAGAGTTATTATTTTGCAGCAGAGGTGAGGGCTGGTGGCAGAGGTGAGGGCTGGTGGCAGAGGTGAGGGCTGGTGGTGGGAGCCGGTTGACCGAGCGGACAGCACGCTGGACTGTGATCCTGAGTTCCCGGGTTCGATCCCGGGCGCCGGCGAGAAATAACGGGCAGAGTTTCTTTCACCCTATGCCCCTGTTACCTAGCAGTAAAATAGGTACCTGGGTGTTAGTCAGCTGTCACGGGCTGCTTCCTGGGGGTGGAGGCCTGGTCGAGGACCGGGCCGCGGGGACACTAAAGCCCCGAATCCTCTCAAGATAACCTCAAGATAACCTCTAGGGAGGTCGGGCTGACCTAAAGACTCCTGTGGGCGGCTACTCTAAATGTGGATGCTGCGTCCAGAGATAGATTCCAAATCTCTATCTTGACACTCAACACATTTATAAGATTTACAGATTAGCAGACTGTTAGTGCTCTTTTCAATAAACCCTTGAACTCTATGTTTAACATTTCTCTAACCCTGTCCATGGAGGACAGAAGAAAATGTATATATGCTGGTTAGCATTGTAAATGTGTGGCCACGTTTGTGGTAGAAAATAATAATAAAAAAAAAAAAAAGTGCTCTGTCTTGGTCATTAAATGTTGACCAAGAGACCTGACTTCTTGGGTGAAGGCGCGACTTAGCACACGGAAGGTGTGAATGTTTGACACTTCCTCTCATGCCAATATTTCATGACAACTATATACATTAACGTCAATTATTTAATTTATATATAAAATTATTTATGACATTACAAGAGAGGTGAGGGCTGGTGGCAGAGAGCAGAGATGGTTAGGGCTGGTGTCGAGCTGGTGAGGGCTGCTGGCAATGATGAGGGCTGGTGTCAGAGATGAGGGCTGGTGTCAGAGATGAGGGCTGGTGTCAGAGATGAGGGCTGGTGTCAGAGATGAGGGCTGGTGTCAGAGATGAGGGCTGGTGTCAGAGATGAGGGCTGGTGACAAAGGGCAGTGGAGATAAGGGCTGTCGGTGTAGTGGAAGGGACAGGAAAGAGCCCTGGAAGCCAAACAACGGGAGTTGAAGGGGTGAGGGGCGAGGGGTGAGGGGTGAGGGAAGATCTCATTCTGGAAGAGTTGGATGATGATAGGAGAGACAATAGTGAAGGAGAGGCTACTCTCACTCTCCCTCCGACCATTCTCTGGTAGCCTGAATGTTAAGGACTACCTCAGCGACCCGGGACACGACACAAGAGTCTAGCCGGGGAGGGTGAAGCATACGAGCCCTAGGTGAGGAACAATGGCACTTTGGTGTATAGGAGGGAGGGAGGGTGGGAGGGAGGGAGAGAGAGAGAGAGAGAGAGAGAGAGAGAGAGAGAGACAGAGAGAGACAGAGAGAGAGAGAGAGACAGAGACAGAGAGAGAGAGAGAGAGAGAGAGAGAGAGAGAGAGAGAGAGAGAGAGGAGAGAGAGAGAGAGAGAGAGAGAGAGAGACAGAGAGACAGAGAGACAGAGAGACAGAGAGAGACCGAGACCTTGCGTCTTTCACTCACCTCTACAAGACCAGTCTAGCGGCATTGGTCAATAACCAGGCGTGAGGTAATGACCAACATGTTTGAGGTCACCAGCGGGGCCTGCCAGAGGTCATCACTGCCAGAGGTCATCACTAAGACCCGACCCATGGAGTCTAGCTCGCTCAGGGGGACACAATAGTCTTGACCTACGACAAGAACAATGTAATAAAGAGTAAGTGCTTGGAACACAATGCCAGACATGAGGTGTCAAGTGTGAGTGAACACGCTTGAGGAGGAAGGCAGAGACCCGCTCCTCGAGGTGGATATCACACCAAATATATCTCCTGATATACATCAACTGGGTATCATCAGCGGCGTGTGCAAAGAAACCTAAGGTGCGCGACCACCCTGGAGTAGAATAACTATAGGTATCCATACGAGTCCCTTGTGGTGCAGTGGTAACTCAATCGCCCTTAGCCTTGCAAGCGATTTGGTCTGGGTTCGAGTCCTGGCTGAAGAGGATTAACTAAGCACGAGTCCTTAACTGATCACCCCTGTTCACCTAACAGTAATTGGCTTCCTGGTTGTTAACCTACTGACGGATCGTGTTCCAGGGTAACACTACACACACTCACACTTTCACAAGTACACAAACAGGGCAGTCACTCATCAAA